AATCTTTCCATAGTTTTTCTTTTTCCAGTTCCCCCATTCAAATACGATTGTTCACATGGTCCTGCCTCTTTGAGCCCTTCCACCCATGCTTTGACTCTCTTGTTCCAGTTTGTGCTTTGTTTTCTCTGCCTTCTTCTGTCCCAGGCCAGGTCATCCTTGTGTTCCATTTCCCCATTCCGATTCTAAGAATTTCAGGCCTTTTGGTTCATTACAATCCATGATCTCAGAGTGAGGTGGACTCCAGAGCTTGAGAGGCTTTGTACTTTTCCTTTGTTGACTTAGTCTTTATTATCTCCACTGATTTGTGGTCATCCTTCACCGGGGCTGTCCTAAGCCCCCTCTGTCTCAGCAGATGCTTCCAAGTTCCTATCACTACATGTCAGTTTTTGTGTGTATCTTTTGTAACTTTCTCTTAGCCTTCTGACATGCTTATCTCTGGGGCGAACTCCCAAGAGTATTTCATTGAATAGATAAAACATGACTTATTAAACCAATTTCCTTAAAATAAGCTTTGGTTATTTCTGTTTATTTTATTTTTGAAAAAATACAAATAGTTTTGAAGTAGACATCCTTGGACAAATATATTGCCCACTTGTGAGAGTTGAGGCAGTGTTTTCTTTGCATGATTGGCTGGCACACACAGTTTCCGTTACCACAGTTTCATTATATAACATCAGTCCCCCAACAACATGATTCTAATTTCAGTTACCAAGATATACTAGCTGTGAGTACTTGGATAAAGTACAGACTGTGCTTCTAGCTCATCAATCCACAAATCACTGTGTAAGTAACAGGGGGACGTCATGGTTAGTGATCAACCACATCACTTCTTTCAAAGTCAGTGAGTGCCTACTATGATTCTTTTAGTCAGTTTGTTGCAGGAAGATGAGGCCCAATGGAGAGAAGGAACACCCATACACTGTGTTTAAAAGAGGAAGGGCTTTATTCCAGCTGGCAGAGCGATGGCAGACCAGAGACTAAAATGGCTGTGCTCCGTAACTGGCTCAGTCTATTTTTTATCTAAAAGTTCCAGCCCACGGGTACCTTTCTCACTGGTCAGTTTGAATCAAGTTGGAGAAGCAGGTTGGTTACAGAATCATGGGCTTTTAGAGAAGTGGAAGCAAGTGTTAGTTTCCAGGTCCCAGGAAGTTAAGTTTCTACAAATTCCTAAGAGCTAAGTCACCATGGGGAGGACCTCCCAGGGGTCTCCTGGAGAAGACCTCTGTTCTCTTAGACCTTACTTTTTCTGGGTATCTTCTCTCAAGTTCATGCTCAGACAGCAAAGCACATAGTTGTGCTGGTGCTGTGTCTCCCAGTGGTAAGCCTACATGATGTCTTATAAAAAATGGAATTAAAAAGGGAATTGACTGATAAGGAATGGAAATACAGTAAAGAAAAGTGATAATGTTGGAAATGAAATTCAAATCTAATGGAAAGAAGTTATGGAAGAAATAGATAACTATGGGAATGCTGATACTGCCACCGTACGGTAGGTTCTAGATACGAAGCCAGAGGAGGTGACACTGGCACAAAACTTATATTAAAGGAACTCTTTGATCCTCCCACCTCAGCCTCCCGGTGTGCTAGGATTACAGGCATGAGCCACTGTGTCTGGCCTTCATGATGTTGAAAGTGCAAATGTCAAAACATTGGAACATGATCTAAATATAGAAAAGAATATGGCAACTCTCCAAGGCATAGAAAAGAGTCTCACTCTGTGTTGTAAGTTATATGATGAATGAGAAGAAAGTACTGTTCTAACTATCCTAGTAAGTTTTTTAGAGGAACAGAATTTTAATTCTCCATGTTTTTAATATTTTAAATTATAGGGTACTAATATAAGTTAGTTTTTTTTTTCATTTGTCTATATATTTTTAACTGACACTAAGAGTCTTTAATGTTTTTGATAGTTAAAAACTCCCTTCCATTGGGTTGGGGCAGTTTACCCCAGGTAAATCCCTTCAGGAGAATCCCTTACATCTCTCTTCTGATATATTATCCTATCCATTTGCCCTTGTTAGCTTATTTGTTCAAGCTCTTCCTCAGAGAGCTCCTTATTTTAATGGGAATATATGTGTGTTACACATTTAGTTTTTTGGTAGCTTAATAAGAAAGCTTGACCTTTGCTTTCTTTTTTGCAAAAATTCTGGCTTTCTTTTATCCGCATTTAGTTTTTAGACCTGCTGCCTCACTTTATTTACCATTTACTTCCTTTTTAGTTCTTGTAGTAACTGGATAGTGGGCCCTTGAGAGTAGAGATCATGTCTGTTTTATTACCAAATGTCCAGTACTTAGCCGCAAGGCTGGCACATCATGCTCAGTGCTCCGCAGGCTTTATTCAAAGGAATGTGTTCATAAAAGCCTCCACCCACCAGCTTCCTGCCCCACTACCCTTTCCTCCTGTCTCTATTATCTCTTCACTTTGGCTTTCCAGAATTCTATACCATTTTTCTATATGTTCACCTGGTGTCCATCCATTCCCCTTTGGGGGTTTTGCTGTTGTTGTCAGTTTGGCTTTTCGTCCAAGTAAAATAGGCTGCTGGTTATTTATCTGCTGCCTTCTGTGTGCCTGCTGTCCTTAGAGCCTTTCTGCACGTTGGCCTTTCTCCTCAAAGCTCCCTCCTCTCTGTGTCCCCTCCCCTCCCCTTCCCTGCCTCCAGCTCCACCTGGAAATATCATGGTGTCCTTTGGAAAGCATGCTGGAGCTTTATTCAGAGGCTCTTGGGTGATCAGACAAAGAATTGAAAGACACCACTAATGAACACAGAGCCACAAAAACAGACTAGGGCGGGAGGCCATTCCTTATGAAAAGAGAGCCAGAAAAAAAGAAAACCTGCTTGCCAACCTCAAGGACAATCTGTCCACATTCCTTCCAGGGAAGCAGTTTAAGCCACACCAGGGAGTTATCTTGGCCACAGGCTTTCAGTTGATACACCCCTTTTGAGCAGACAGGACAATCAGGATGAAATAAAGAGTATAGACCATGTTAGAGGATTCTGAGTTTATTGATAGACATAAAGAAAGCTCTACAAAAGTTAAGATAAGGCTTAACAGTAGAAGGGTGGCAGAAGCGGCTCACTACCCTCTGCGCAAATCTTTACTTCTTATATACCTAACGCTACCTTTGTTCAGTGTGGTATTCTTAATTTGCATAGTCCCAGCAACCTCGCCACCCTCCTGTAAATCCTTCAAAGCTGGTGTTCCTAGAGAACAGCAGAGTCTCCTACTCTGGTCCTGGCTGGCATTTGAGTTAGGACGCTGGTGCAAGTGTTGCAGGAAGATGAGGCCCAGCGGAAAGAAAGAGCACCCAAACACCACGTTTATAAGAGGAAGGGCTTTATTCACCAGCCCGAAGCTTGCAGCATAGAAGATTCCAAATGGTCTCGCTTCCTGACTGGCTTGGTCTTTCCCTTTATATCCACAGTCAAAAAGTTCCACCCCACAGCTACCCTTCTCATTGGCCAGTTTGAATCAAGTGGGAGATGCTATTCTATAGAGTACAGGATTTCACAGAAGTTAAGTTTACAAATTCCCAAGAGCTGAGTCACCATGGAGAGGACCCTGTAGGTGTATCCTTGTGGTCACCTTGAGAAGACCTGTTCTCCTAGACCTCACCTATCTTGGGTATCCTCTCTCACAAGGTCAACATCTGTTGTGGAATCAGTCTCATATGGCAACATTCACCTTACAATGACTTCCCTCTCCTTCTCACAACCCCCTCTCTTGGTCTACACCTGTGCCCCTTGGCCCTATTGTTTCCTCTGCCTTTGAATCAGTTAATTCCTATGTTAACCTTCTCGGATCTTGTTTTGTTGATTTCTCTCTGTTTATCTCTCAGAGCTGCTCCCTGTTCTTGAGAGAGCTCTCTGAATAATAATAGACTGTCTATTGCTGTCTTCTTGCTTTTCAGAGACCCCCCTTCACTTTCACCCATTTAGAGCATGCCAAGGGCTTTATCTGTGAAGCTTTTCCTGACAGTCCTCTCTCCAGCCACCCTTTCTCCTTCTTTAAGCAACTGTAGGACTTTGCAGCTGGTTTGTAGAGCCTACCAAACATGGGCCGCTTAGCCCATGTGTTTATCTTCTCACACACAAATAGAAGCTCTCTGAAGTGGCTCTTATTCTTCCCTTCAGTGTATGACATGGTCCTTACACATAACTGGTACTCAGTGAATATTTTGTTGAATTGCCTTGCAAAGTGCCATGGTAGAGGGCCGTCAGGGAGACTCCATCCCACTAAAACAAATTGAGGATTGTTTTGTGCATGATTCTGCCCCTTTGTCTTCTAACTCACAAAAATCCCATCACTGTTCTTAGGAGTTACATGATGTATCCCTTTATTTGAACATGCTAGAGGCCAGAAGAGTGGAGAATGAGAAAATGGCAAAGTCTTAGTGTTGGAACGATTTTTAGACATCCGTGTAGTCCAACCTTTATAATTTAGAGATGAAGAAACTGATGTCTAGACAGCTTAAGAGGCCTGCTGTAAATCACACAACCAGTTTGGGATAACATCTGGGTCTGAGATGGAGTCAACTGACCCTCTTCAGGGCTTGTTCTCACAAGCTGCCATTGTGCATATGAGGATATTATATTGTGTTTAGCTCTGTGTCGTTAAACTGTTAATAGAGGCTTGTAATAGTCTCCTATTGCCTTTAATGAATTAACAATAGGAAATGGAGTCTCTAAGTAGATTTTTCTCTGTCTTTCTCTTAATTAAGAATTTTTCTGACAAAGTCATTTCTAGTTTTCAGAGAGTTTCTTCTTACATTAACTTTGGATGGCATAGGATTTTTTGCTGACATTAAACTTTTTATTGAAGTATAACATGCCTACAGAGATGTATGTACGTCACGTGTACTATTTGAATTTTTAAAACGTGAACACATCCAGGTTAGAAAAATGAGCAGTGGCAGTAGCAAGTTTAGAAATATTTAGAGAAAGAATCTGGAGAAATGATACGGCATTGAAACGATATAATTTTCTCTTTTCCCCTTACAGGTGTTGTCAGTATGTGTGCTAACAACAATCCTTGGTTGTATATTTGGTTTGAAACCCAGCTGTGCCAAAGAAGGTAATTAATGCTCTGAGTGCTCATGTGTGTGCAGCCTTATTCTGAATGTGACTGTGAAACCACCAATGTCTTGTTTGCGCGTGTCTTTGTTCTTAACTGATTTTTTTATTGTCCTAATCCACACTGACGCTGGTGTAACTAGGTTGTCTGGCTTATATCCAGGTATCACACTAGACAACAAATTTCTGAAGAACAAAGACCACATCTGGATTTTAAGCCTTCTTCTTGCAGCTCTTCTGTTGTTTTAGCCATATAAAATTTTACTTACCTATGAAGCTTATCACAAAATAAGGAAGAGGGACTATGACGGAAACACAAACAAAAAAACCCAAACAATAAAAAAATCAGTTAAGAACAAAGACATAAGCAAACCGGTCCTAGAAGGTTCTGCCTTTGTGCCCCTGGAGTCCTCTCTTCTCCAGGGATGCCTAGGATACTCTCTTCCCCTGAAGAGTTAGTTGCTGAAGCAGCCCTGGAGGTTACTAGGTAACTAGTCAGCATCCCTGGGTGACCAGACACTTAACCAATGCCTGCTTTAAACATTTTAAAAGTTACAGACATTGGTGGTTTCAAAGAAATAGTGGTATTTTTAAGCTTTTAGATACTTTTTTCTTTATGTTATTTGCAAAAGGCTCTAACACTGACAAGATTACTATAAATAATCAAACTGAATGGTAAATTATAGTGGTTATTATTTTGACTCTAAGGCAGCTTTTTCCCCCTGTAAAATTATTGACGGTCATCCTAGAGAATTCAGTTTTGAAAATTGAACAAAATCTCCTCCTGTTCAATCATTATGTAACTGTGATATTGGTAATTTAGAAACTTTCAGTGATTGGTAAGTTGTTATGAATTGTTGAAATGAATGAGTGTGGTGATGTTATGGACGTATTCAGCAAACTAATCAGAATAAATGTATCTAAGTTTAACAAAAGTAAAAAATTACAGACTTCCATGTTCACTCTTGTAGTCTTTTGACAGGAAGCAGTTTCCCTTGAGTTCTGTTTGACACATAACAATGAAGGATTGACACTAGCAGTTTTAATGCAAGTTCACCATAGCATGCATCATATTTTTAAAAATTACTAGGAAAATATTATTTTAATAGTCTTATCCCCTACCTCTGGGGCCAGGAGGATTAGTATTTCTGACCCTAGAAGTTGTTATTGTTACTTCATATTCCTAAAATCACCTAATTTCCTGGTATCAAATGAGAGTTAAATTCCATGGCACTGTCTTGTGGGCTCAGGAGAGCATTAAAGCCAAGAACTAAGATTGTTTTTTATTGTTGTTGGATGTCCATGATTTTACATGTGTCTTGTTTCTTCTTCTTAATCATCTTAGTGTTGTTACAATCGAATAAAAACTGAACCTGGTCAAGGTATCTAGTAAAGAGTTGAAAGGGCGAAGTTATTTTTCATGAAAAGTATTTTCCTTCCATACCCGCTATTTATCCATTTAGCAAAACCTTTTTAGTTCCAAGTATCCGTCAAGCACCTTGCTAGATGCTAGGGATACAGTGTGCTGGGCAAAATCCAGATGTGGCCTTTGTTCTTCAGAAGTTTGTTGTCTAGTGTGATCCCTGGATATGAGCCAGACCACCTAGTTACACATGGAATTAAATAACTGGGGAAAGGATGAGTTTTATAAGAGATTTAAAAATGGAAATTGGGCCTACGCTGGGGAAAGTTTCTTAGAGACCACCACCTGAAGGTGAAATAGATATTTTAGGTTATGGAGGAGAGACAGTGCTGGGGACCATGTTGTGTACAAACATACTATGTCGTTACACCAAAATGGTGGGGGAAGTAAGTTAGGCATTCTCTCCCTTTCTGCAATATTCCTAATCACTTAAAGAAAAATCTTTTCCCACATTGAAAAATTTGGGGGAACCCCATGGCTGCTTAAGCCAGCTTTTTCCTGGCATGAAATATTCAGAGAAAGTCCTTATTCTGACTTTTCTTTATTGCATCATGGATATTTAAGTCATATCAGACCCAGAAAGGTTTGTAATAACTTTTTTTTAAAAGTTCCCTTTTTTTCCTCTGGCAAGAGATACAATCACAACCTCTGTACTAAGGTTATCTTCTGTTATGCCGCTTTCTGTCTGTATGTATGACAAGATTCTTAGATCCTTTTTTACCCCGTCTGCATTTTCTAAAGCATTTGCACCTCTTGTATATACCTAACCAGCTTAGGTGTATTCGTTGATGTTTGCTTTGTAATTATGTAATGATTAGAAACATCTAACTCATTGTTCAACGTTTTCAGTTAAAAGTTGCAAAGGTCGCTGTTTTGAGAGAACATTTGGGAGCTGTCGCTGTGATGTTGCTTGTGTTGAGATGGGAAACTGCTGTCTGGATTACCAGGAGGCCTGTATAGAACCAGGTAAAGATGTGTAGGGAAAAAATATGGAGTAATGGGCATTAGAAAAAGATCAAAGAAAGTTCTGCATCTTTTTATTTGAGTTTTTTTAAAAAATTCATTTAGCATGCCCGTATATTTGGACACTAGCCTTTATATTTTCTTTCAACAGTTCCTTAGAGGAAAAAGTTTACATGTCATGCCTTTGTTAAACATTTTATGGATAGAAAAATTGTGCCTATTATTAATGTATGCTAGAAGACTTTGTACTCTAATTTGTGTTTAAATTAAGATATAAAAGGCTGGTCAAAATATGTAAATATTTTCGTTATGAACCTCTTATATCAAGAGTTCCTAGATGTCTACATATCCTTTTTAAAAACAAAATTATCAGAACATGAAATTTTTTTTTGTTTTATTTGGATTTCTCTACATGTGTTGTAGAATAATATTTAAATGGGAAAGAGTCAAATTTAGATGAAGTTTTTTAGAACCTTTAAAGTGGATGGTGGAAGAAGCCAATACATGTGAATTCTATAATAATTTGTGTGTCCAAGTTTGAAAATGACAGAATTCTGGAGTTTTAGTGAAATAATATCAATTGATGCCTCCTTTTCAGTGAGGCCATGGTAGAGGCCTATTCTGTGAGTGACTAGAATTATGCAGTAGTTCACTGTCTCTCACGGATCATATTTCAGAGGATGACAATTCTGTGCTCACTTTGGATGTGTAGAATTTGAACCATAAAACACATTTTGTTGATATTTGTTTCTAGACCATATATGGACTTGCAACAAATTTAGGTGTGGTGAGAAACGGTTGCTTACAAGCCACTGTGCCTGTTCCGATGACTGCAAAGACCAGGGTGACTGCTGCATTAACTACAGCTCTGTGTGTCAAGGTCAGGCTTCCATGCTCTCTCTGGGTTCTGCAACAGCTTGCTCCTTTCCAGGGTCTTAGCTAACTTTTGTACTTCTGTTACCTTTTATAGTAGGAGTTATATTTATTGCTCAACTATATTAGCTGAAAAAAATACAATAAAACTGCTGTAAATTGAAGGACTGTAACAAACTGGTCAACATGTAGAGGTGGTCACATAAGGAACTAGGCCTATTGTACTGCTACATACATGTAGCACATGTCCAGTCTACAAAAATTAGGTCAACTTGAGGTGCTCAGTTTAGGGAGGTGGTCAACTCTGGAGGTGCTACTATACTTTTAAAACTTTTTGCTAAAGAAAATTTCAAACAAATGCAGAGGAAAGAGAATGTGTAATCACCCAGCTTAATAATGATTATCTACACATGGCCAATCTTGTCTTATCTAGCCACTCACTCCTCCATGACCTCCTCGTGTTATTTTGATAATAGCTGCCTACTTAATGCTGATTTGTGGAAACATCAGCCTTCCAGTCCTGGCCAACTTTCATGTCCCAGGTTCCCTCATAGTAAATGAGGATGGTGTCTTACCATGCATTGAGAGAGTCGATGTGAAATTACTTTGAAAGATTATGGGACATTTTATAAGCGTATTATTAATAATGTCTTATCCAGGTATTACAGGTTTCCTTAAAATCCCTTAACAGAACCTGGCTCTATATGAGAGAGAACTGAGACCTCAAAGCACCAAAGGTTTTGATGGGGGAGGGGACGTATGGGAGAGTTGTACATTTTGGCTAAAAATATTCAATATTTCAAAATGGAAAGGATAACTTCAAGTTCTCAGAAATTTAGTAGTGTGTTTTAGTCTTACAATTATACATCCATTTTTTTCTTTCTGATATATACTCATATTGAAACAATATCTCCCTTTATTCATTATCTCTTCTTAGTATCATGCCCTGTGTTATCAATATATATGTTAATATGTTTTGTTCTTGGAATCTGCTGTAATGTATCTCACAAGCATCACAAGTATTGTTACTATAAAGTGTGTACAACTCAATTTATTTCTCGAAAATCTTTTAGGTGAGCAAAGTTGGCTGGAAGAGCCATGTGGGTACATTCACGTGCCGCAGTGTCCAGCCGGGTAAGACGATATTCTGAGAAACTAATTTTTTCTTCTTGAGAAGTCCATACCATGTTTTTTTTCTTTTTTGAAATTAAGATAAAAATAACAATCATTGGTTTACTAAACATGAATATCCTTTATCCAAAATGATGGGCACCAGAAGTCTTTCAGATGTTGGATTTTTCTTTTTTTAATTTTGTAACATTTGCATTATACTGGTTGAACATCTCAACTCTGATAATTATAGAGAGACCTTTATTTTGGAAGCTAATGGAAAAAAGAGAATCCATGAATATTATTCTTTAGTATTTATAAGTGCTAGATAGCAGTATTTATATCTTAGGGAGGAAGGATCTTTGCTTTCATTTGGAGTTTTGAGAGTTGAATGTGTAGCAAATTATACTTTTTATAATTTTTTGTAATTTGGTCTATTTATAAATTTTGGGGATAGAGAGGGAACATGTCTATGAGATGATGTGACATAATTCTTATAATTCATATTTATTCTTTTTGTACTTAAGATATTTTGTACAGGACCTTACTATATTACTAGGCCATCAACAAAGTATTTGTGGAATTTAAGGGTTAGAGAATTTATGAAGATGCAGACATATTTATTTTTGTTCCACTTGAGGTCTACTACTCATATAACTTGAATTATTCATCTTTAGGAATATATTTTCCAAAATGACGGTTTTTCTAAACTATTAAAAATTTTAAAGCTGTATTTCAGTTCATTTTCTTCATGTTTATATTTGTTATGTCCTATGTCTTTTTGAATTTTTTTGGATGGGAGAGCGCTTTTTTAGTTTAAAAGCAAAAACTAAATCTAAAACCAAATAATTTCAACAGAAGAAGCCTTTTTTAAGAGAAACTTCCATTGGTGGGACCACACCTATGGTGCATTTTACAAGGGTACATGTTAAATCTACTAAGTGTAGGATATAAATGTCTTAATGCAATAGCTAAGAAAATGTGGTGAAAGCTATCTTAACCAGTTTGATGAAAGTATTTCAATTGTATATAAACCCAGCACATTGTATCCCATAATTGCATTCATATACACAGCTATGATTTAATAATAATAAAAAAAAATTAAATAGGAAAAGACCCCAGAAACTTCTCATGTACTTTAAACTGTCTTTTAAAGGCCAAGGTATACTAGACATTTTAGACATAGTATACTAATTTTGAATCTTTCTTTGCCTTCTAAACATCAATCATTATTTTCATTAAATCTTTTAGTGGGAGAGGTAACTTTTCCTTTCTTTACAATCGAAGATCAAAATTTAGAACACTTCTTTTTATACTGGAAATGACTACAGTATATTTACTAGGTGGCCCACTAACCTGATTTTTATGTTTTCTGATCATTAAACAGAAGTAGTTTTGTAATGATATGGACCCACTGAGACTATGGGCAAATTTTGGCATTCTCCAGTGGGGCTATGTTACAGATATAGCCCCTTGATGTGGGGTGTTTGTGTATGTGTGTGCATCTTTGTAGGCAAGGATAAGATGGGGGAAGAGATAGGATTGAAAGGGAGCAAGGTATTTGCTCTCAAATTTTAAATTGCTGAGTAAACTTGCAGTGGAAGATCTTTTCACCATCACCCAGTGATATACAGTTCCTCTGCCATCACCTGGTATCACTAGATGCTGCAAAATTTGTAGACCAGGCTTCTTGTGCAGTCATTCATAGATAGTCTTTTTTGTTGAGTATATTATCACACATGACTTTTTCCTATCCCAGTTTGGATTTCCACACCCCACACATCTGTGTGTTCATATGTGTGTTTAGGGGGAAGAGATGGGGTGGGAAGAATGCACAGAAATCTCATTGTCAATCATTCCTAGCTTTGAGTCATTTCTTTTTCATTTATATATTTAAATGTAATTATCACTCAAACTTTTGTATTAAATATTGATAACTTTTAAATATATTAAGCTTAAAAACTAAGTATGGTATAGGACGGGGCTCAGTGGGTAGGGTGCCGGCCCCATATACCGAGAGTGGCGGATTCGAACCTGGTCCTGGCCAAACTTCAATAAAAAATAGCCAGGCGTTGTGGCCGGTGCCTGTAGTCTCAGCTACTTGGAGGCTGAGGCAAGAGAATTGCCTAAGCCCAGGAGTTGGAGGTTGCTGTGAACTGTGTGATGCCGCAGCATCCCCCTCACTGGGGGATAAAATGAGACTCTGTCTCTACAAAAAAAAAAAACTAAATATGGTATATAATATATACTGTAAGAAGTATAATCTTTTAGAATCAAGTGGAGACTATCAGAAACTAGTTATTCAGGAACAAAATAATGGAAGCAAAAACATAATTGTGACACTGTAGTTGTTTATTAACATTTTTCTGCAAATTGGGAAAATATGATTACATTTTAGTAGCATCTGGTCTAGATTTTGGAATGGCAGGAAACCACGAAGGATGTCCTCTATATGGTGGCTCAACATGGCACGAGTACGTAATGAATATTATTTGATGATAGCCATATATGTATCATAAAATGATAAAGCACATATATGAATATAAATGCATGTAAAGTATCATTTATGAGTGACCTTGTTAGTGTAGTGATGATGACATGTTGACCTCAGTGGAAAATCTCCACTGGACATGTGCCAATGAGGAATATCTTCAGTGTATCTTCTTTTTTGCATCTTTAAACATTTCTTTTTTTCATTACCCAGGTTTGAAGTGCCTCCCACCCTCTTATTTTCTTTGGATGGATTCAGGGCAGAATATTTACACACTTGGGGTGGACTTCTTCCTGTTATTAGCAAGCTAAGTGAGTAACTTCGGGGTTTACTACTAGGGTGTCATGATTTCGGTAAGATGGACTGGGAGGACAGTCTGTGTTGGAAAAATACTGGTAGAACCTCACTGTTCCATCAGATTTCTTCTACTGCAAAGTAGTTGAACCTGGTCTAAGGCACTAACAATATTGTGATTATTCTGGAACTACCCCTTAAATACTTCTAAGTTAATGCAGTTATTTATTGTAGGATTTTAACTGTTGCCCATTTTTATACCGGTTTATTTTTCCTTAGAATTTTGGATTTCCTTTTGTGGGAAAAAAATATATATACTATTTCTTTTATAAGTATTTCATTTTAAGAATGGAATTTTAAAAAATGAAGGTACTTCTGATATGAGGTCAGTGGGAGAACCTACAGATATTTGTCTACGAGCTATCCTGTATTATCCTTTGGACTGAATTGGATTTTTCCACTTTTAAAGAATCTCAATCAAAGCCTTGATTGAATGATTACTGTTATGTTATTGATGAACTAGTAGAATGGTCTTCTCTTAATATTGATGCCAGAGTTTGAGATCATATTAACAGCCATAAATATGTGTCATTGCTATTATTGAAAGAGGAGAAACTCATCTATACATATAAAAACTATTGACCGTTGCTAGTCAGAGTCATCAATATTTAAGTAGATACAGTGTGGTACTGGAGTGACGTAGAAGTAAGTAAATGCAACTATTTTAATGTTTTTCTAAACTTCTAAAATATTATTTACTAGAATTGAATTTGTAAGGCTGCTTTAAACATTAAAATCACTTTCAGTAAATATACCTGTACATCATTATACTTATAATGTACCAGAATGATTTTTGGAGAACTTTTTAAAATTTTAGTTTTTAATTTCTGCCAGGAAGGTAATTGTTGTTGTTTTTTAAATAACTAATCATTTGGCCTAAAAGCATTTAGCTTTTTGTGGACAAAGCTCTGTTATTGACTAGCAGGCTTATGGGCTGTGACATTTGAATCCAGCTCTTTGTTGCTTTTAGGAGGACCATTGGTCTCCATGGTACCAAAAATGGCATGCCAAGCTCAGTATTAAGGAGCTATAGGTGCTTGTATATAAAGTTGAAAAGAAATCAGTGTGCAATGAACAAGCCCTGGCTTTGGGTAATTGAGGAATAGAGCCTGTAATTCTGAACTGTTGGGAAGACAGTGAGCTGTACAGACACAGGCTAATCCAAGGGACATTTTCAGGCAGTGGAGTATTGACATACTGGAATCATTAGTTGTGTCCCTTCCTCCGTAGTAGAAGGAGGGATTCATCGGGGCTAAAACAGCAGGGCATTAGGAACAATCTGACCCTCTTTCTCTGCTTTGAAACCAAAAGGTGCCTTTTCTCTTTAAGGCAGCTGAGTTTGTTCAGGGTTGTCTGGATTTGAATCCATGGCCTGGGACACTATCTCCCCAAATAGGACTTCACTCTTCTTTTAATTTGCACATTTAGCTACAAGTGCAGTTTTTATTTTTTATTGTTTTTTTCTTTCCTCTTTTCATTTGTCAGCATTAAGGGTAGGGTTTTTTTTTTTTTTTTTTAGCTGCCTCTTGTTATGTAGGTATGTGACCTTTAGTAGATTTAGCAAACATGACATTATTACAGATATTAATACGATTTGTCCATCTTGAACTTAATGGGTTGATAAGTATGAGATGATTATTGAATTGGTTTAATTATTTTGTTTAATGCTTTTCTAAGAGAGAAACTACTTCTTATCTTTAACATTGACTTTCTCCACAGTGTTGCTTTATAATTTATCCTGAATTTTATCTGGATTTATAAATTATTCCGGGGCTAATTTTTTTTTTTCCATGATGACTGCTGTGGTACCAAAGTTAAAGAAGGTCAACACATTGTCAGTTGTGTTTAATAACAATGGTTATTATTATTATTTTTTTTTTACTTTCTAGAAGACTGTGGAACATACACTAAAAATATGAGACCGGTATATCCGACAAAAACTTTTCCCAATCACTACAGCATTGTCACAGTAAGCTCTGCACTTCAACTTTTTTATATATGTTCATGGAAATGAGATGAAATTATAACATTTTTTGAAGGACTAATAGGGTTTCAGATTAAAAAGGCCAAAACAAATTTCTTTTCTAAGGGGAAACCTAGGTTTTGGTCTTCTCTCTGCTATTAATTAACTAGCTGTGGCTTTGGGAAGGTCCCTTTATCTTCTGGGTCTCCATTTTCTCATCTGTGAGAAGAGGTGGCTAAATACTCCAGGGAAGGGTTTCTTGGTTTCCTTTCAGTGTTAAGAGTCTCTGATTCTTTCACCCTATTTTTTCTCATCAGCTTTGTAGCTTACTTTATTTAAGCCAAAAAACCTGGTGCACACTCCCCTATTCCTGTCGTTCCAATCATCCTGATGAGGCACCCAAGCAAGCTGCTCTGCCTGCCTGCAGATAGGATTTCAGTTCTGTTTTTGTTTCTATCAAAGTTTCCATATTAAATATGAATCAGAAAAGAAGTACAATTCAGGACCCTTTAGAACTGAAGACAGAAAATTAGTATGATACAAGCTACTCTGGTACCCAGCCACAAATGAGTTTGTTCTGCAGAAACAATTTACTCAGGAAAACAAAAAGACGACAGAGTATTTCTTTTTTACAAAATTTGGGAGTTTGCCTATGTACTTCATCTGTGGTATTATGGACGTATTTTTTCCTGTTACTTTTTTTTTTTTTTGAGACAGAGTCGCACTATGTTGCCTTTGGAAGAGTGCCAGGGCGTCACAGCTCACAATAACCTCCAGCTCTTGGGCTTAAGTGATTCTCTTGCCGCAGCCTCCTAAGTGGCTGGGACTACAGGCTCCTGCCACAGTGCTTGGCTATTTTTTTTGTTGTAGTTATCATTGTTGTTTTAGTTGGCCTTGGCTGAATTTGAACCCGCCAACTTTGGTGTATGTGGCTGGTGCCGTAACCACTGTGTTACGGGCGCTGAGCTGTTCTGTTACATAATTGAAAACAAAAAAATAATATGTAAACTCTTAAGTGGTTGGTTGTGTTTTGACATTACTAAATTTTTTGTTTTTCCATCCTTAAACTTTATTATAATTCCTTGTAGCTTTAGTTTATCAGTTTCTCTTTTCTGGTTGTATTCTGTGACTTTATTTAACATTAAATGAACTTAAAATTTGCATAAAATCTGTATTTTATCTTTTTTAGGGACTTTATCCAGAATCTCATGGCATAATTGACAATAAAATGTATGATCCCCAAATGAATGCTTCTTTTTCACTTAAAAGTAAAGAGAAATTTAATTCTGCATGGTACAAAGGAGAACCAGTAAGTTCTTTGTTTATTTTAGCTAGTGAAAGAGTTTCTTATTCTCATTAATCAAAGTAAAATAAGCAGATTCCCTGGAGCTTTTTATAACCCATTTCATTTACTATATCTATGGCCATCATTTCATAAATGAAATGGATACTGATAATCCTAAATACAACTTAAATGATGGCACAGAATGCTAGTAGTTTATCTCTGAGATAGATTTGGGTCGTTCTGGGCAATTTTTCTTTTCTGATTGAATCTTCCTTCTGTAATAATAGCAAATAGCAGTAGTCTGGAAATAATAGTTTTGATCTGTACAAAGCTACTTTGTTGAAAGAGGTAAGCCTTGGTTTCATTTGCATATGCTAATTTAGCAGGTTCTTTCTAATTTTGATTTAGATGTATTCTCCTTTTCATTTTTTTAAGTTGCCCCAATAATTGCATAGGGTCTGTTTGGTTATTTTGATATTCTTCTAACAAGAAAAAAGATCATATGTTTAATTTGCAAGTTATGAATTCAGATTTTAGTTCTGACATAGGGTTATTGAGAGGATTATGTTAGTTCATAATGTAGGATGCTTATAGGAATGCCATTTAGAACCATGATTGACAGTAATAAGTGCTTAATACATATTAGTTACGAAAGCAACAAGTTATGTCAACAAATTGAGGACATATATATATTTGTGACTTTTTCTTCTTTCAAGAGAAACCTATTAATTAAGGATATATTTAGGATATAGCTCCAAATGTTGCAGGAATTAATCTCTGATTATTCAATGTATTTTTGCTGCTACTTAAGAGTCATTATGATAAGATTATTATAGTCTTTCTGCTGGAGCTTGACCTTAAAAACATTGTAGTACTAAGTGGAATGCATTGATGTTTCATGAATACATATTTCCCTAAGAGGTGAATGTTTGTGCAATTTCCTAATTTTCCTTCATTATCCATTCAGATTTGGGTCACAGCTAAGTTTCAAGGCCTCAGGTCTGGCACATTTTTTTGGCCAGGATCAGATACACCAATTCATGGAGTTTTTCCAGATATCTATCAAGTCTATAATGGGTATGTATAGATGAACTTTTTCTAGGACCCGTAATGTAAAACTGATTATTTTTATGTCATTCTTCTCCTTTTTATTGAGTTGCTTTAACATTTGAGTGTCATGTTGGCTAAAACATGAGAACTGGAAGAATAAGAGCTCTATCTCAAAAGAGTTTTAGATAGATGATAGACAGTGAAATTAGACAAAATCCATACAACAGTGTAGTTGAGAGGGCAAACAGAAAAGATCACAGATCCCGTACGAGAAATATCTAAGAGTTTTCCTTGGTCATCTTACACTGGTTTGTATTCTTTATGGCCCACATGGCATAATGCAGAGCCTCTTATTCACCTTATTATTTGCAGTTATTTTTATTCCGTGGATCGTAGTTGAGATTTTTATGTGCCATAGGGGATTCAAAAATTAGCAGCATATGGTCTCTGGCCTTTCAAGGTCCAGTAAAGAACACAACTCACCACACTTGGGAATTTTATGAATAGGTAAGACTCCAAGCACTCTGATGGAGGTGTGTGAACAAAACCTGTGTCTAGAAGAAGGTATAATTACTCCAGCTCAGGAAATATTGCCTGGAGAATTGTTATCTGCCCCTTATGTGCCTACTTCCTAGGTGTACTAAGAGTTATCAATCAGTGAATTCACAGGTACCCTTTGGAGAGTGTATTAACATGTGAGATATTCACATGGTGTGCAGTGACTGTTCTTAGGTACAGGTACAATATCTTTAGGTAGAAGATAGGCAGCAAATTTTTAAACTCATTTACAACTTCTTTTTATGTAAACCTAACTTCTAACTTCTTTTGTCCCTTTACTGGGAAAATAAATTTAAGTTTTTTCTGAGACAGAGTCTCACTTTATCGCCCTCAGTAGAGTGCTGTGGCATCACAGCTCAGAGCAACCTCAAATTCTTGGGCTAAAGTAACCTTGCCTCAGCTTTCCAAGTAGCTGAGTCTACAGGCGCCTGCCATAATGCCTGGCTATTTTTTGTTGTTGTTGTTGTTGCTGCAGTTGTCATTGTTGTTTAGCTGGCCCGGGCTGGTTTTGAACCCACCAGCCTTGGCATGTGTGGTCAGCACCCTACCCACTGAGCTACGGGCACTGCCCCAAATTTAAGGTTTTCAATAAAACTCTTACATGAATTCAAACGTAGCAGATGCATTGGATTGCTTTAGTATCTCCTAATGCTATTTTCTCTCTTTTTTTTTTCTTTTCTTTTTTTTTTTTTTTGAGACAGAGCCTCAAGCT